GGAGAGGGAGAGGGAGAGGGAGAGGGAGAGGGAGTGGGAGTCACCTGGATGAAGCGGGTCATCAGCCTTGGCGACAATCACCCTTATCCAGAATTCATCTCATCAGTCCGCAAATTACGAATAATTTACGAACTGTCCATTGATCTCTATCCTTGCTGTAGGTGAAGTGCATCACTGTGCTTTCAGACACAAGAAGATACAACTAAGAATTATCAGCTTGCCCAAGGTTCAAGCAAGCAAGGGCACAGAAGAAACTATCGTTCAGCTGGGCAGTGGTGGTGCACGCCTTTAATCCCAGCACTGGGAAGGCAGAGGCAGGCGGATTTCTCAGTTCGAGGCCAGCCTGGTCTACAGAGTAAATTCCAGGACAGCCAGGGCTACACAGAGAAACCCTGTCTCGAAAAAACAAACAAACAAACAAACAAACAAAAAGAAACTATCATTCACCACCGAGAATGAAGTGGACTACCATCCTTTTGCCTGTGTTTCCTAAAGCTAAATTCTTATGCCCAAAATGTCATCTAGGCAGGTAGCTAAAATGTGCACAGATAAAACTCCAGCTAGCCCCAGTGCAGGCCTATAATCCCACCTCCTGGAGAGACTGAGTGCAAGTCTTATTCAAGGCCACAGACTGAGTGCAAGTCTTATTCAAGGCCAGCCAACAAAGTTCAGGGCCAGCCTAGACAACTTAGTGAGACCTTGTCACAGAATAAAGACAACTAGGGGTAAGGCTCAGAAGTGTTGTGCTTGCCTGTTAATATGTGATGCTGTGAGTTCAGACTCCAGAACTGCAAAACATAAATTCTTTTTCTTCACTACCTTCCCTCACTGACAAAACATCACTTCCCAAAAGGACTCCAGTGGACTCGGGCAGAGGGTCTGGGGACATGACACAAGGTGCCCTAACATTTTTCCCATGAGCACTTGTCCCCTTCTTTTCTCTCCTTTATCACCCACCACCCCCAAAACAACTGGATTTAGAGACTGCTGAGCCATTGAGCATTACCAGGAGCTGCTGTCCCCCATCCTCCACTCAGGTGTTAAGGGACACTGGATTAAGCGCCACACCTCACCATTTTAGCAGGTGCCTGTCAGCACTGCAAGTGTAAAATAAAGAGAAATGGCAAGAAATCCCTCATGGGACCCAGGTGAGCATAGGCAGAAATCAGACACTTACACTCTGCAGTGTGAACTTGTAAATTTTAAAGCATGGTTTAGAGGTGCATGCTTTTTGAAACAGCACGTTTACTTCCTGGGAAAGGAAATAAATATGCAGAGATCATTTACTGTGAGCTTTATACACACACACATACACACCTCTCCTACACACATGCATTCACACACACACACCCCTCCTACACACATACATTCACACACACACCTCTCCTACACACACACACACACACACACACAAACAATCCATATATTTCTCATAGACAGGAGGAAATGGACTAAGTACAGCACGTTTTAAGAACATATTTATTTTATGTGCATAAGTGTCTTGCTTTTGTGTGTGTACCATGTGCATGTCTGGTGCTCAAACAGGCCAGCAGAGGGTGCCAGATCCTCTGAAACCAGACGTAGAGAGCTGTGAGCTGCCATGAGGATGCTGGGAACTGAACCTCGGCCCTTTGCAAAAGCAGCAAAAGTGCTCATAGAACGTTAGCTGCCTCTTCATCCTCAGCTCAGTGAACAGAGTAAAACCCATGAACGCTGATGAAGTGAAAAAATGTGAGTAATGTTAAAGAACTCTGGATCTTAACAGTGGGCAATAGGCTATAGTGCCTCATTTCATTAAAA